TGCAAAATGGATTTTCAGATAGACTTCACACGTTAAACACGCACACACACACACACACACACACACATATATATATGTGTGCATATGCGTGTGTGTGTGCATACATATATGGTTAGTTAATAAAATGTTAATCTAAGGAAAAATTAACATATGAAATTATTCAACTTAGCTCCAGAGGAGCTCGCATAATACGGCTCAACATTGCATCAAGTTGGTGCATAATTACACAAAGTCACTCACAATGAATTTGCATATGTACTTATATGTTCTTAAATATATATTTTTTTGTTTCAATATATATACATATATATGCTCCTAATGCATATACACATATATACATATATATACATATACATACATGTCTGTATGTATATACATATATATGTATGTATATATGTATTTATATGTATAGTTAGAAAAGGAAATATATATATATACATATTCATATACAGCATACATATGTACATACATATATACATATAGATATGTATATATATATATATATATATATATATATATATATATATATATATTATATATATATATTATATAGACATATATTGCATATATACTGTATATATAGACATTATTTCAGCTCCGCCCCTTTACCATCATACATTGCAACTATTGATAGGATTTCATTTTTCCATTTCGTTCCATATTTTGTTTCGCATTTGTTTACCATTGTCATTAATGACAAATGTCAAATAGAATATACTGAAGAAACACATAATATATCGCACAGATTGACAGAAGTGAAAACTGGGGCGGAGCAAAATGACGTCACCACATAAATGATAATTTGTAAAATCTACTTGCCATTGTCAAAATTACCGTGTCCTCTTAAATACCTTACATATATTTTTATATGTATAAATACGTACACACCAACATATGTATGTATATAAATACATATACAGTATATGCATGTGTATAAATAAATAAAATGAATATATACATACATTCATCCACAAACATGCAATGTATATTCGTATAGTTTAACATACTGATAATGAAAATATAGGAAAAAAAGGAAAAGGAATGGTAGCTGTGATGGCTAATAATCATAATCATATCAAAGTAAGTAAAATAATTATGATTATGATATTAGTGAAAATAATACAGAACCATGATAATCTCATAATAAATGATAAATGGCATAACACTTACTGGAAACACTGATGTTGAAATAAACAATGGTAATATCGACAGTTTTTTTTTTTTTTTTTTTTTTTTTTTTTTTTTTTTTTTTTGTGCTAAAACGTCCACCATGTGATTTAAGGAAGCAAAACTATTTTCAATATTCCTTCGCTCATTTAGCCTTGAGACTGAAACAAAAAAACCTAGCAGTGGGCGTGGCTTCGTTTCGGCCACTATATAAAGGAGACGCCGCCGAGTCATCGGCAGAGTCGCCGGAGATTCCCTGTGGACATGAAGACTTTGGTAAAGAGTGCTTCTTTTGCACCATTGTGCCTTTATGTTATAGGTGGGAAGGCTAAGCAAGATTCAATATTTTTTGTTTAAGAGCAACGGCAGTTCTTTTCCTAACACTTACCTCTGTTTAGACTTGAACTGACGAGTATGTGGTTTGTTGCAGGCCATCGCTGTCGCCCTCGTGGCGTTTGTAGGAGTCAGTGTGAGCGGAGATCCTGAAGCTGATGCTGAGCCCAGCCGCTATGGAGGCGGCTTTGGGCCATGGGGTGGTGTCCTACAGACCCGTGTACAAGCTACGGCTACGGACGCTGGAAGAGGAGTGCTGAGCCTGTAGCTGAGGCTGAGCTGATGGGCCGATCCTTTCCGCTTCGGATACGGGCATGGCGGCTTAGTCACGTGTCCTTCCAACCCGTATACAGCAGCTATGGCTACGGACGCTGGAAGAGGAGTGCTGAGGCTGAGCCCGGATTCAGCTTCGGTCACGGCTTCGGAGGTCACGGCCGCTTCGGAGGCTACAGGGCTATGGAGGCCACGGCGGAAGCTTTGGTGGACATGGGCGTTTCTACGGCTGAAGGGTTCATTTTTCCCAAGATCAATAAAGCTGAGCAATTCTACACAGTGATTCCTTTAAACATACCAGACTTATAAACACAATTGTCCCTTTAAACAAAATGAAGGAACAAAATCACTGCAGCAAACATTGAAACCGAATGGATTTGGAAAAAAAAAAAAAAAAAAGATGAAACCACGTCCTAGCGCTAATATCTTTTCAGAAAGTATATATATGTAGATATATACATACATTACACACCTGCGTGTGTGCCCACACACACACATACATATGACTAGATGAATATGAAATGTTATTATAAAAAAAGCAAGTAGATGAATCTATTCAACTTGGTTCGAGAAGAGCTCGCATAATAATGTTCAACACTGTATCATCGTTGTCCAGAGCAAAGTACAATCCGATTTTCAAGCAAAACGAAAAATAGGCATACAGCAAAGGAGAAATGGTGATAAATGATGCATCATAATAAATGTTGAGTCCTTATTCTTATGATAAATTCAAGAGTTAATCATGGGAGTTATAATTGAGCTTATCAAAGGTGACCTTAGCGATGGGGCAAACTCACATGATGACGCATGAATAAACACACGAACAAACATACATATATGTATTTATTGACATATTGTACACACACTAACAGCAACTGCTCAGCCAAGCCCTATCCCTTTTCCATCATACATTGCAAATATTCTTTGTGTCTTTTATAGCCTGTATTTCTCTTTCATTCCGATCTAATCTTTGTCATTAATAAAAGATTGTCAAAGCAAATATAATGAAATTCTTATCATAATCTATCGCATAGACTGACAAGAGTGGAAATGGGGCGGAGCAAGCTGGCACCACGTTTAGCCAATGAGCCTGCCCCGTGATGAAATCAGACGAAGGATTGTTTGTGAAGTTTACTATTTAGTGCCATAATCACCAGAAGTAAAGCAACACCAACAATTCTTCCATAATAAAAAAGTATCTCATAGTATAAACAGTTGTCAGTATACTCCAAGAAAAAGTTAACAGGCTAAGTGGAAGTGGTGCTACTTATTCCTTCAAATAACTTTTATGTATATATATAAATATGCACACGCCTATATGTATATCATATCAAGTATATGGTTAACATATTAATAATGATATCAAGGAATATTTTGATGACTATTGTGGTAATAACAGTTCCCAAGCGTGATCATAGTAGCTTAATGATAATCATTACGTTTATATGTATGATAATAATTAATAACCGTGATTACAATCTGATGATAATGCTGAGGGCATACAACTGCTACCGGAAACACCGATTATATAAATATATATATATATATATATATATATATATATATATATATATATATATATATATATATATATATATATGTAGTATCTATACACGTACTTCATTACAATAACGATTCTATAATAGCAGTTCCATTCCCCATGATATCTATATGAATAAAATAAAATACTAAATATAATAAAAATAAGCATGGCTAAATCTGATAATCTGTGCATTCGTACACGTATTTCATACAGCAAAGAGCAAATCAATGGGAATGTAAAAGGATTTTTCCTTAAATATGATCCACTTGAGTCAAGGAAAAATACTATCTTCAAAATTGCTCAAGCATCTGCAGATTTTATTAATTTAACCTTGGGACTGAAGTAGAAATAACCCGGCAGTGGGCGTGGCTTCGTCTCGGCCACTATATAAGGAGACGCCGCCGAGTCATCGGCAGAGCCGCCGGAGATTCCCTGTGGACATGAAGACTTTGGTAAATAGCATGTTTCCTTTTGTGGCATTGTCATTTATGTTATGGCTGCAAAATTCAGTATTATTTTTCAGTTCAAAGGCATTTATAGTTCTTTTCCCACCCACCATTACCTCTATTTAATTACTTGCATATATTCCAAGGTGTCATTGACAGATTTGAACTGACGAGTATGTGGTTGTGTTGCAGGCCATCGCTGTCGCCCTCGTGGCGTTTGTAGGAGTCAGTGTGAGCGGAGATCCTGAAGCTGATGCTGAGCCCAGCCGATATGGAGGCGGCTTTGGAGGCTATGGGGTGGTGTCCTACAGACCCGTGTACAATAGCTACGGCTACGGACGCTGGAAGAGGAGTGCTGAGCCTGTAGCTGAGGCTGAGGCTGCCCGAGGCCGATCCTTCCCGCTTCGGATACGGGTATGGCGGCTTTAGTCACGTGTCCTTCAGGCCCGTGTACAGCAGCTATGGCTACGGACGCTGGAAGAGGAGTGCTGAGCCTGTAGCTGAGGCTGAGGCTGAGCCCGAGGCCGATCCTTCCCGCTTCGGATACGGGCATGGCGCTTTAGTCACGTGTCCTTCCAACCCGTATACAGCAGCTATGGCTACGGACGCTGGAAGAGGAGTGCTGAGGCTGAGCCCGGATTCAGCTTCGGTCACGGCTTCGGAGGTCACGGCCGCTTCGGAGGCTACAGGGGCTATGGAGGCCACGGCGGAAGCTTTGGTGGACATGGGCGTTTCTACGGCTGAAGGATTCCTTTTTCCCAAGATCAATAAAGCTGAGCAATTCTACGCAGTGATTCCTTTAAACATGCCAAATATATGTGAGCAAGTATCCCTTTATACAACAGTGAACAGTTGTCCCCTTTGAACAACCGGAAGGGCAGAATCACTGTAGCAAGACTCCGACAGAATAGCCTTTGGAAAAACAGCGAAATTTCGTGCTAAAAGATTTTCAGATAGATTTCACACGTAAACACGCACACACACACACACACACACATATATATGTGTGCATATGCGTGTGTGTGTGCATACATATATGGTTAGTTTAATAAAATGTTAATCTAAGGAAAAATTAACATATGAAATTATTCAACTTAGCTCCAGAGGAGCTCGCATAATACGGCTCAACATTGCATCAAGTTGGTGCATAATTACACATAGTCACTCACACAGAATTTGCATATGTACTTATATGTTCTTAAATATATATTTATTTGTTTCAATATATATACATATATATGCTCCTAATGCATATACACATATATACATATATATACATATACATACATGTCTGTATGTATATACATATATATGTATGTATATATGTATTATATGTATAGTTAGAAAAGGAAATATATATATATACATATTCATATACAGCATACATATGTACATACATATATACATATAGATATGGTATATATATATATATATATATATATATATATATATATATATATTATATATATTTATATAGACATATATATTGCATATATACTGTATATATAGACATTATTTAAGCTCCTCTCCTTTACCATCAATATTGCAACTATTGATAGGATTTCATTTTTCCATTTCGTTCCATATTTTGTTTTGCATTTGTTTACCATTGTCATTAAATGACAAATGTCAAATAGAATATACTGAAGAAACACATAATATATCGCACAGATTGACAGAAGTGAAAATGGGGCGGAGCAAAATGACGTCACCACATAAATGATAATTTGTAAAATCTACTTGCCATTGTCAAAATTACCGTGTCCTCTTAAATACCTTACATATATTTTTATATGTATAAATACGTACACACCAACATATGTATGTATATAAATACATATACAGTATATGCATGTGTATAAATAAATAAATGAATATATACATACATTCATCCACAAACATGCAATGTATATTCGTATAGTTTAACATACTGATAATGAAAATATAGGAAAAAAAGGAAAAGGAATGGTAGCTGTGATGGCTAATAATCATAATATATCAAAGTAAGTAAAATAATTATGATTATGATATTAGTGAAAATAATACAGAACCATGATAATCTCATAATAATGATAAATGGCATAACACTTACTGGAAACACTGATGTTGGAAATAAAACAATGGTAATATCGACAGTTTTTTTTTTTTTTTTTTTTTTTGCTAAAACGTCCACCATGTGATTTAAGGAAGCAAAACTATTTTCAATATTCCTTCGCTCATTTAGCCTTGAGACTGAAACAAAAATAACCTAGCAGTGGGCGTGGCTTCGTTTCGGCCACTATATAAGGAGACGCCGCCGAGTCATCGGCAGAGTCGCCGGAGATTCCCTGTGGACATGAAGACTTTGGTAAAGAGTGCTTCTCTTTGCACCATTGTGCCTTTATGTTATAGGTGGGAAGGCTAAGCAAGATTCAAATTTTTTTGTTTAAGAGCAACGGCAGTTCTTTTCCTAACACTTACCTCTGTTTAGACTTGAACTGACGAGTATGTGGTTGTGTTGCAGGCCATCGCTGTCGCCCTCGTGGCGTTTGTAGGAGTCAGTGTGAGCGGAGATCCTGAAGCTGATGCTGAGCCCAGCCGCTATGGAGGCGGCTTTGGAGGCCATGGGGTGGTGTCCTACAGACCCGCGTACAACAGCTACGGCTACGGACGCTGGAAAGGAGTGCTGAGGCTGAGCCTGTAGCTGAGGCTGATCCCGAGGCCGATCCTTCCCGCTTCGGATACGGGCATGGCGGCTTTAGTCACGTGTCCTTCCAACCCGTATACAGCAGCTATGGCTACGGACGCTGGAAGAGGAGCTGAGGCTGAGCCTGTAGCTGAGGCTGAGGCTGATCCCGAGGCCGATCCTTCCCGCTTCGGATACGGGCATGGCGGCTTTAGTCACGTGTCCTTCCAACCCGTATACAGCAGCTATGGCTACGGACGCTGGAAGAGGAGTGCTGAGGCTGAGCCCGGATTCAGCTTCGGTCACGGCTTCGGAGGTCACGGCCGCTTCGGAGGCTACAGGGGCTATGGAGGCCACGGCGGAAGCTTTGGTGGACATGGGCGTTTCTACGGCTGAAGGGTTCATTTTTCCCAAGATCAATAAAGCTGAGCAATTCTACACAGTGATTCCTTTAAACATACCAGACTTATAAACACAATTGTCCCTTTAAACAAAATGAAGGAACAAAATCACTGCAGCAAACATTGAAACCGAATGGATTTTGGATAAAAAAAAAAAAAAAAAGATGAAACCACGTCCTAGCGCTAATATCTTTTCAGAAAGTATATATATGTAGATATATACATACATTACACACCTGCGTGTGTGCCCCACACACACATACATATGACTAGATGAATATGAAATGTTATTATAAAAAAAGCAAGTAGATGAATCTATTCAACTTGGTTCGAGAAGAGCTCGCATAATAATGTTCAACACTGTATCATCGTTGTCCAGAGCAAAGTACAATCCGATTTTCAAGCAAAACGAAAAATAGGCATACAGCAAAGGAGAAATGGTGATAAATGATGCATCATAATAAATGTTGAGTCCTTATTCTTATGATAAATTCAAGAGTTAATCATGGGAGTTATAATTGAGCTATCAAAGGTGACCTTAGCGATGGGGCAAACTCACATGATGACGCATGAATAAACACACGAACAAACATACATATATGTATTTATTGACATATTGTACACACACTAACAGCAACTGCTCAGCCAAGCCCTATCCCTTTTCCATCATACATTGCAAATATTCTTTGTGTCTTTTTATAGCCTGTATTTCTCTTTCATTCCGATCTAATCTTTGTCATTAATAAAAGATTGTCAAAGCAAATATAATGAAATTCTTATCATAATCTATCGCATAGACTGACAAGAGTGGAAATGGGGCGAAGCAAGCTGGCACCACGTTTAGCCAATGAGCCTGCCCCGTGATGAAATCAGACGAAGGATTGTTTGTGAAGTTTACTATTTAGTGCCATAATCACCAGAAGTAAAGCAACACCAACAATTCTTCCATAATAAAAAAGTATCTCATAGTATAAACAGTTGTCAGTATACTCCAAGAAAAAGTTAACAGGCTAAGTGGAAGTGGTGCTACTTATTCCTTCAAATAACTTATGTATATATAAATATGCACACGCACATATGTATATCATATCAAGTATATGGTTAACATATTAATAATGATATCAAAGGAATATTTTGATGACTATTGTGGTAATAACAGTTCCCAAGCGTGATCATAGTAGCTTAATGATAATCATTACGTTTATATGTATGATAATAATTAATAACCGTGATTACAATCTGATGATAATGCTGAGGGGCATACAACTGCTACCGGAAACACCGATTATATAATATATATATATATATATATATATATATATATATATATATATATATATATATATATATATATATGTTGGTAGTATCTATAGATGTACTTCAGTACAATAACGATTCTATAATAGCAGTTCCATTCACCATGATATCTATATGAATAAATATGAATACTAAATATAATAAAAATAACATGGCTAAATCTGATAATCTGTGCATTCGTACACGTATTTCATACAGCAAAGAGCAAATCAATGGGAATGTAAAAGGATTTTTCCTAAAATATGATCCACTTGAGTCAAGGAAAAATACTATCTTCAAAATTGCTCAAGCATCTGCAGATTTTATTAATTTAACCTTGGGACTGAAGTAGAAATAACCCGGCAGTGGGCGTGGCTTCGTCTCGGCCACTATATAAGGAGACGCCGCCGAGTCATCGGCAGAGCCGCCGGAGATTCCCTGTGGATATGAAGACTTTGGTAAATAGCATGTTTCCTTTTGTGGCATTGTCACTCATGTTATGGCTGCAAAATTCTGTATTATTTTTCAGTTCAAAGGCATTTTTATAGTTCTTTTCCCACCCCACCATTACCTCTTAATTACTTGCATATATTCCAAGGTGTCATTGACAGATTTGAACTGACGAGTATGTGGTTGTGTTGCAGGCCATCGCTGTCGCCCTCGTGGCGTTTGTAGGAGTCAGTGTGCGGAGATCCTGAAGCTGATGCTGAGCCCAGCCGCTATGGAGGCGGCTTTGGAGGCCATGGGGTAGTGTCCTACAGACCCGTGTACAATAGCTACGGCTACGGACGCTGGAAGAGGAGTGCTGAGCCTGTAGCTGAGGCTGAGGCTGATCCCGAAGCCGATCCTTCCCGCTTCGGATACGGGTATGGTGGCTTTAGTCACGTGTCCTTCAGGCCCGTGTTCAGCAGCTACGGCTACGGACGCTGGAGAGGAGTGCTGAACCTGTAGCTGAGGCTGAGCCCGAGGCCGATCCTTCCCGCTTCGGATACGGCATGGCGGCTTTAGTCACGTGTCCTTCCAACCCGTATACAGCAGCTATGGCTACGGACGCTGGAAGAGGAGTGCTGAGCCTGTAGCTGAGGCTGATCCCGAGGCCGATCCTTCCCGCTTCGGATACGGGCATGGCGGCTTTAGTCACGTGTCCTTCCAACCCGTATACAGCAGCTATGGCTACGGACGCTGGAAGAGGAGTGCTGAGGCTGAGCCCGGATTCAGCTTCGGTCACGGCTTCGGAGGTCACGGCCGCTTCGGAGGCTACAGGGGCTATGGAGGCCACGGCGGAAGCTTTGGTGGACATGGGCGTTTCTACGGCTGAAGGGTTCATTTTTCCCAAGATCAATAAAGCTGAGCAATTCTACACAGTGATTCCTTTAAACATACCAGACTTATAAACACAATTGTCCCTTTAAACAAAATGAATGAGCAAAATAACTGCAGCAAACATTGAAACCGAATGGATTTTGGATAAAAAAAAAAAAAAAAAAAGATGAAACCACGTCCTAGCGCTAATATCTTTTCAGAAAGTATATATATGTAGATATATACATACATTACACACCTGCGTGTGTGCCCACACACACACATACATATGACTAGATGAATATGAAATGTTATTATAAAAAAAAGCAAGTAGATGAATCTATTCAACTTGGTTCGAGAAGAGCTCGCATAATAATGTTCAACACTGTATCATCGTTGTCCAGAGCAAAGTACAATCCGATTTTCAAGCAAAACGAAAAATAGGCATACAGCAAAGGAGAAATGGTGATAAATGATGCATCATAATAAATGTTGAGTCCTTATTCTTATGATAAATTCAAGAGTTAATCATGGGAGTTATAATTGAGCTTATCAAAGGTGACCTTAGCGATGGGGCAAACTCACATGATGACGCATGAATAAACACACGAACAAACATACATATATGTATTTATTGACATAAATTGTACACACACTAACAGCAACTGCTCAGCCAAGCCCTATCCCTTTTCCATCATACATTGCAAATATTCTTTGTGTCTTTTTATAGCCTGTATTTCTCTTTCATTCCGATCTAATCTTTGTCATTAATAAAAGATTGTCAAAGCAAATATAATGAAATTCTTATCATAATCTATCGCATAGACTGACAAGAGTGGAAATGGGGCGAAGCAAGCTGGCACCACGTTTAGCCAATGAGCCTGCCCCGTGATGAAATCAGACGAAGGATTGTTTGTGAAGTTTACTATTTAGTGTCCTAATCACCAGAAGTAAAGCAACACCAACAATTCTTCCATAATAAAAAAGTATCTCATAGTATAAACAGTTGTCAGTATACTCCAAGAAAAAGTTAACAGGCTAAGTGGAAGTGGTGCTACTTATTCCTTCAAATAACTTTTATGTATATATAAATACGCACACGCATATATGTATATCATATCAAGTATATGGTTAACATATTAATAATGATATCAAAGGAATATTTTGATGACTATTGTGGTAATAACAGTTCCCAAGCGTGATCATAGTAGCTTAATGATAATCATTACGTTTATATGTATGATAATAATTAATAACCGTGATTACAATCTGATGATAATGCTGAGGGGCATACAACTGCTACCGGAAACACCGATATATATATATATATATATATATATATATATATATATATATATATATATATATATATATATATATATATATATATATATATATATATATATGTTGGTAGTATCTATACACGTACTTCATTACAATAACGATTCTATAATAGCAGTTCCATTCCCCATGATATCTATATGAATAAATATAAATACTAAATATAATAAAAATAAGCATGGCTAAATCTGATAATCTGTGCATTCGTACACGTATTTCATACAGCAAAGAGCAAATCAATGGGAATGTAAAAGGATTTTTCCTAAAATATGATCCACTTGAGTCAAGGAAAAATACTATCTTCAAAATTGCTCAAGCATCTGCAGATTTTATTAATTTAACCTTGGGACTGAAGTAGAAATAACCCGGCAGTGGGCGTGGCTTCGTCTCGGCCACTATATAAGGAGACGCCGCCGAGTCATCGGCGCCTGTGGACATGAAGACTTTGGTAAATAGCATGTTTCCTTTTGTGGCATTGTCATTTATGTTATGGCTGCAAAATTCAGTATTATTTTTCAGTTCAAAGGCATTTATAGTTCTTTTCCCACCCACCATTACCTCTATTTAATTACTTGCATATATTCCAAGGTGTCATTGACAGATTTGAACTGACGAGTATGTGGTTGTGTTGCAGGCCATCGCTGTCGCCCTCGTGGCGTTTGTAGGAGTCAGTGTGAGCGGAGATCCTGAAGCTGATGCTGAGCCCAGCCGATATGGAGGCGGCTTTGGAGGCTATGGGGTGGTGTCCTACAGACCCGTGTACAATAGCTATGGCTACGGACGCTGGAAGAGGAGTGCTGAGCCTGTAGCTGAGGCTGAGGCTGAGCCCGAGGCCGATCCTTCCCGCTTCGGATACGGGTATGGCGGCTTTAGTCACGTGTCCTTCAGGCCCGTGTACAGCAGCTATGGCTACGGACGCTGGAAGAGGAGTGCTGAGCCTGTAGCTGAGGCTGAGGCTGAGCCCGAGGCCGATCCTTCCCGCTTCGGATACGGGTATGGCGGCTTTAGTCACGTGTCCTTCCAACCCGTATACAGCAGCTATGGCTACGGACGCTGGAAGAGGAGTGCTGAGGCTGAGCCCGGATTCAGCTTCGGTCACGGCTTCGGAGGTCACGGCCGCTTCGGAGGCTACAGGGGCTATGGAGGCCACGGCGGAAGCTTTGGTGGACATGGGCGTTTCTACGGCTGAAGGATTCTTTTTTTCCAAGATCAATAAAGCTGAGCAATTCTACGCAGTGATTCCTTTAAACATGCCAAATATTTGTGAGCAAGTATCCCTTTATACAACAGTGAACAGTTGTCCCTTTGAACAACCGGAAGGGGCAGAATCACTGTAGCAAGACTCCGACAGAATAGCCTTTGGAAAAACAGCGAAATTTCCGTGCTAAAAGATTTTCAGATAGACTTCACACGTAAACACGCACACACACACACACACACACACATATATATATGTGCATATGCGTGTGTGTGTGCATACATATATGGTTAGTTTAATAAAATGTTAATCTAAGGAAAAATTAACATATGAAATTATTCAACTTAGCTCCAGAGGAGCTCGCATAATACGGCTCAACATTGCATCAAGTTGGTGCATAATTACACAAAGTCACTCACAATGAATTTGCATATGTACTTATATGTTCTTAAATATATATTTATTTGTTTCAATATATATACATATATATGCTCCTAATGCATATACACATATATACATATATATACATATACATACATGTCTGTATGTATATACATATATATGTATGTATATATGTATTTATATGTATAGTTAGAAAAGGAAATATATATATATACATATTCATATACAGCATACATATGTACATACATATATACATATAGATATGGTATATATATATATATATATATATATATATATATATATATATATATATATATTATATATATTATATAGACATATATATTGCATATATACTGTATATATAGACATTATTTCAGCTCCCCCTTTACCATCACATATTGCAACTATTGATAGGATTTCATTTTTCCATTTCGTTCCATATTTTGTTTCGCATTTGTTTACCATTGTCATTAAATGACAAATGTCAAATAGAATATACTGAAGAAACACATAATATATCGCACAGATTGACAGAAGTGAAACTGGGGCGGAGCAAAATGACGTCACCACATAAATGATAATTTGTAAAATCTACTTGCCATTGTCAAAATTACCGTGTCCTCTTAAATACCTTACATATATTTTATATGTATAAATACGTACACACCAACATATGTATGTATATAAATACATATACAGTATATGCATGTGTATAAATAAATAAATGAATATATACATACATTCATCCACAAACATGCAATGTATATTCGTATAGTTTAACATACTGATAATGAAAATATAGGAAAAAAAGGAAAAGGAATGGTAGCTGTGATGGCTAATAATCATAATCATATCAAAGTAAGTAAAATAATTATGATTATGATATTAGTGAAAATAATACAGAACCATGATAATCTCATAATAATGATAAATGGCATAACACTTACTGGAAACACTGATGTTGAAAATAAGAACAATGGTAATATCGACAGTTAAGTTTTTTTTTTTTTTTTTTTTTTTTTTGCTAAAACGTCCACCATGTGATTTAAGGAAGCAAAACTATTTTCAATATTCCTTCGCTCATTTAGCCTTGAGACTGAAACAAAAATAACCTAGCAGTGGGCGTGGCTTCGTTTCGGCCACTATATAAGGAGACGCCGCCGAGTCATCGGCAGTCGCCGGAGATTCCCTGTGGACATGAAGACTTTGGTAAAGAGTGCTTCTCTTTGCACCATTGTGCCTTTATGTTATAGGTGGGAAGGCTAAGCAAGATTATATTTTTTGTTTAAGAGCAACGGCAGTTCTTTTCCTAACACTTACCTCTGTTTAGACTTGAACTGACGAGTATGTGGTTGTGTTGCAGGCCATCGCTGTCGCCCTCGTGGCGTTTGTAGGAGTCAGTGTGAGCGGAGATCCTGAAGCTGATGCTGAGCCCAGCCGCTATGGAGGCGGCTTTGGAGGCCATGGGGTGGTGTCCTACAGACCCGCGTAACAGCTACGGCTACGGACGCTGGAAGAGGAGTGCTGAGGCTGAGCTGAGCTGAGGCTGATCCCGAGGCCGATCCTTCCCGCTTCGGATACGGGCATGGCGGCTTTAGTCACGTGACAGCTATGGCTACGGACGCTGGAAGAGGAGTGCTGAGAGCCTGTAGCTGAGGCTGAGATCCCGAGGCCGATCCTTCCCGCTTCGGATACGGGCATGGCGGCTTTAGTCACGTGTCCTTCAACCCGTATACAGCAGCTATGGCTACGGACGCTGGAAGAGTGCTGAGGCTGAGCCTGTAGCTGAGGCTGATCCCGAGGCCGATCCTTCCCGCTTCGGATACGGGCATGGCGGCTTTAGTCACGTGTCCTTCCCGTATACAGCAGCTATGGCTACGGACGCTGGAAGAGGAGTGCTGAGGCTGAGCCTGTAGCTGAGGCTGAGGCTGATCCGAGGCCGATCCTTCCCGCTTCGGATACGGGCATGGCGGCTTTAGTCACGTGTCCTTCCAACCCGTATACAGCAGCTATGGCTACGGACGCTGGAAGAGGAGTGCTGAGGCTGAGCCCGGATTCAGCTTCGGTCACGGCTTCGGAGGTCACGGCCGCTTCGGAGGCTACAGGGGCTATGGAGGCCACGGCGGAAGCTTTGGTGGACATGGGCGTTTCTACGGCTGAAGGGTTCATTTTTCCCAAGATCAATAAAGCTGAGCAATTCTACACAGTGATTCCTTTAAACATACCAGACTTATAAACACAATTGTCCCTTTAAACAAAATGAATGAACAAAATCACTGCAGCAAACATTGAAACCGAATGGATTTTGGATAAAAAAAAAATAAAAAAAAGATGAAACCACGTCCTAGCGCTAATATCTTTTCAGAAAGTATATATATGTAGATATATACATACATTACACACCTGCGTGTGTGCCCACACACACACATACATATGACTAGATGAATATGAAATGTTATTATAAAAAAAGCAAGTAGATGAATCTATTCAACTTGGTTCGAGAAGAGCTCGCATAATAATGTTCAACACTGTATCATCGTTGTCCAGAGCAAAGTACAATCCGATTTTCAAGCAAAACGAAAAATAGGCATACAGCAAAGGAGAAATGGTGATAAATGATGCATCATAATAAATGTTGAGTCCTTATTCTTATGATAAATTCAAGAGTTAATCATGGGAGTTATAATTGAGCTCATGAAAGGTGACCTTAAAGATGGGGCAAACTCACATGATGACGCATGAATAAACACACGAACAAACATACATATATGTATTTATTGACATATTGTACACACACTAACAGCAACTGCTCAGCCAAGCCCTATCCCTTTTCCATCATACATTGCAAATATTCTTTGTGTCTTTTTATAGCCTGTATTTCTCTTTCATTCCGATCTAATCTTTGTCATTAATAAAAGATTGTCAAAGCAAATATAATGAAATTCTTATCATAATCTATCGCATAGACTGACAAGAGTGGAAATGGGGCGGAGCAAGCTGGCACCACGTTTAGCCAATGAGCCTGCCCCGTGATGAAATCAGACGAAGGATTGTTTGTGAAGTTTACTATTTAGTGTCCTAATCACCAGAAGTAAAGCAACACCAACAATTCTTCCATAATCACCAGGCAACAGCAAAAAAAGAAAAAAAAATATTAGTACAGTTGTCAGTATACTCTAAGAAAAGTTAACAGGCTAAGTGGAAGTGGTGCTACTTATTCCTTCAAATAACTTTTATGTATATATAAATATGCACACGCCTATATGTATATCATATCAAGTATATGGTTAACATGTTAATAATATCAAAGGAATATTTTGATGACTATTGTGGTAATAACAGTTCCCAAGCGTGATCATAGTAGCTTAATGATAATCATTACGTTTATATGTATGATAATAATTAATAACCGTGATTACAATCATGATAATGCTGAGGGCATACAACTGCTACCGGAAACACGCATATATATATATATATATATATATATATATATATATATATATATAGTGGTACAATGTGTGCATGCTCCATGTACGCATGTGCCTTGACGTACTTCAGTACAATAACGATTCTATAATAGCAGTTCCATTCACCATGATATCTATATGAATAAATATGAATACTAAATATAATAAAAATAAACATGGATAAATCTGATAATTTGTGCATTCGTACACGTATTTCATACAGCAAAGAGCAAATCAATGGGAATGTAAAAGGATTTTTCCTAAAATATGATCCACTTGAGTCAAGGAAAAAATACTATCTTCAAAATTGCTCAAGCATCTGCAGATTTTATTAATTTAACCTTGGGACTGAAGCAGAAATAACCCGGCAGTGGGCGTGGCTTCGTCTCGGCCACTATATAAGGAGACGCCGCCGAGTCATCGGCAGAGCCGCCGGAGATTCCCTGTGGACATGAAGACTTTGGTAAATAGCATGTTTCCTTTTGTGGCATTGTCACTCATGTTATGGCTGCAAAATTCAGTATTATTTTTCAGTTCAAAGGCATTTATAGTTCTTTTCCCACCCACCATTACCTCTATTTAATTACTTGCATATATTCCAAGGTGTCATTGACAGATTTGAACTGACGAGTATGTGGTTGTGTTGCAGGCCATCGCTGTCGCCCTCGTGGCGTTTGTAGGAGTCAGTGTGAGCGGAGATCCTGAAGCTGATGCTGAGCCCAGCGCTATGGAGGCGGCTTTGGAGGCCATGGGGTAGTGTCCTACAGACCCGTGTACAATAGCTACGGCTACGGACGCTGGAAGAGGAGTGCTGAGCCTGTAGCTGAGGCTGAGGCTGATCCCGAGGCCGATCCTTCCCGCTTCGGATACGGGCATGGCGGCTTTAGTCACGTGTCCTTCAGGCCCGTGTACAGCAGCTATGGCTACGGACGCTGGAAGAGGAGTGCTGAGCCTGTAGCTGAGGCTGAGCCCGAGGCCGATCCTTCCCGCTTCGGATACGGGCATGGCGGCTTTAGTCACGTGTCCTTCACCCGTATACAGCAGCTATGGCTACGGACGCTGGAAGAGGAGTGCTGAGGCTGAGCCTGTAGCTGAGGCTGAGGCTGATCCCGAGGCCGATCCTTCCCGCTTCGGATACGGGCATGGCGGCTTTAGTCACGTGTCCTTCAACCCGTATACAGCAGCTATGGCTACGGACGCTGGAAGAGGAGTGCTGAGGCTGAGCCCGGATTCAGCTTCGGTCACGGCTTCGGAGGTCACGGCCGCTTCGGAGGCTACAGGGGCTATGGAGGCCACGGCGGAAGCTTTGGTGGACATGGGCGTTTCTACGGCTGAAGGGTTCTTTCCCAAGATCAATAAAGCTGAGCAATTCTACACAGTGATTCCTTTAAACATACCAGACTTATAAACACAATTGTCCCTTTTAACAAAATGAAGGAACAAAATCACTGCAGCAAACATTGAAACCGAATGGATTTTGGATAAAAAAAAAAAAAAAAAAAATGAAACCACGTCCTAGCGCTAATATCTTTTCAGAAAGTATATATATGTAGATATATACATACATTACACACCTGCGTGTGTGCCCACACACACACATACATATGACTAGATGAATATGAAATGTTATATTAAAAAAAAGCAAGTAGATGAATCTATTCAACTTGGTTCGAGAAGAGCTCGCATAATAATGTTCAACACTGTATCATCGTTGTCCAGAGCAAAGTACAATCCGATTTTCAAGCAAAACGAAAAATAGGCATACAGCAAAGGAGAAATGGTGATAAATGATGCATCATAATAAATGTTGAGTCCTTATTCTTATGATAAATTCAAGAGTTAATCATGGGAGTTATAATTGAGCTATCAAAGGTGACCTTAGCGATGGGGCAAACTCACATGATGACGCATGAATAAACACACGAACAAACATACATATATGTATTATTGACATATTGTACACACACTAACAGCAACTGCTCAGCCAAGCCCTATCCCTTTTCCATCATACATTGCAAATATTCTTTGTGTCTTTTTATAGCCTGTATTTCTCTTTCATTCCGATCTAATCTTTGTCATCAATGAAAGATTGTCAAAGCAAATATAATGAAATTCTTATCATAATCTATCGCATAGACTGACAAGAGTGGAAATGGGGCGGAGCAAGCTGGCACCACGTTTAGCCAATGAGCCTGCCCCGTGATGAAATCAGACGAAGGATTGTTTGTGAAGTTTACTATTTAGTGCCATAATCACCAGAAGTAAAAGCAACACCAACAATTCTTCCACAATAAAAAAGTATCTCATAGTATAAACAGTTGTCAGTATACTCAAGAAAAAGTTAACAGGCTAAGTGGAAGTGGTGCTACTTATTCCTTCAAATAACTTTTATGTATATATAAATATGCACACGCCATATGTATATCATATCAAGTATATGGTTAACATATTAATAATGATATCAAAGGAATTTTTGATGACTATTGTGGTAATAACAGTTCCCAAGCGTGATCATAGTAGCTTAATGATAATCATTACGTTTATATGTATGAATAATTAATAACCGTGATTACAATCATGATAATGCTGAGGGGCATACAACTGCTACCGGAAACACCGATTTATATATATATATATATATATATATATATATATATATATATATATATATATATATATATATATATATATATATATATATATATATATATAATGTTGGTAGTATCTATACACGTACTTCATTACAATAACGATTCTATAATAGCAGTTCCATTCACCATGATATCTATATGAATAAATATAATACTAAATATAATAAAATAAGCATGGCTAAATCTGATAATTGTGCATTCGTACACGTATTTCATACAGCAAAGAGCAAATCAATGGGAATGTAAAAGGATTTTTCCTTAAATATGATCCACTTGAGTCAAAAGGAAAAATACTGTCTTCAAAATTGCTCAAGCATCTGCAGATTTTATTAATTTAACCTTGGGACTGAAGCAGAAATAACCCGGCAGTGGGCGTGGCTTCGTCTCGGCCACTATATAAGGAGACGCCGCCGAGTCATCGGCAGAGCCGCCGGAGATTCCCTGTGGACATGAAGACTTTGGTAAATAGCATGTTTCCTTTTGTGGCATTGTCATTTATGTTATGGCTGCAAAATTCAGTATTAATATCTAGTTCAAAGGCGTTTGTAGTTCTTTTCCCACCCACCATTACCTCTATTTAATTACTTGCATATATTCCAAGGTGTCATTGACAGATTTGAACTGACGAGTATGTGGTTGTGTTGCAGGCCATCGCTGTCGCCCTCGTGGCGTTTGTAGGAGTCAGTGTGAGCGGAGATCCTGAAGCTGATGCTGAGCCCAGCCGATATGGAGGCGGCTTTGGAGGCATGGGTGGTGTCCTACAGACCCGTGTACAATAGCTATGGCTACGGACGCTGGAAGAGGAGTGCTGAGCCTGTAGCTGAGGCTGAGGCTGAGGCCGAGGCCGATCCTTCCCGCTTCGGATACGGGCATGGCGGCTTTAGTCACGTGTCCTTCAGGCCCGTGTACAGCAGCTATGGCTACGGACGCTGGAAGAGGAGTGCTGAGCCTGTAGCTGAGGCTGAGGCTGATCCCGAGGCCGATCCTTCCCGCTTCGGATACGGGCATGGCGGCTTTAGTCACGTGTCCTTCCAACCCGTATACAGCAGCTATGGCTACGGACGCTGGAAGAGGAGTGCTGAGGCTGAGCCCGGATTCAGCTTCGGTCACGGCTTCGGAGGTCACGGCCGCTTCGGAGGCTACAGGGGCTATGGAGGCCACGGCGGAAGCTTTGGTGGACATGGGCGTTTCTACGGCTGAAGGATTCCTTTTTCCCAAGATCAATAAAGCTGAGCAATTCTACGCAGTGATTCCTTTAAACATGCCAAATATTTGTGAGCAAGTATCCCTTTATACAACAGTGAACAAGTTGTCCCTTGAACAACCGAAGGGGCAGAATCACTGTAGCAAACTCCACAGAATAGCCTTTGGAAAAACAGCGAAATTCCGTGCTAAAAGATTTTCAGATAGACTTCACACATAAACAACGCACACACACACACGCACACACACATACATATATATATGTGTGCATATGCGTGTGTGTGTGCATACATATATGGTTAGTTTAATAAAATGTTAAATCTAAGGAAAAAATTAACATATGAATTTATTCAACTTAGCTCCAGGGAGCTCGCATAATACGGCTCAACATTGCATCAAGTTGGTGCATAATTACACAAAGTCACTCACAAGAAATTTGCATATGTACTTATATGTTCTTAAATATATATTTATTGTTTCATAATATAGCATATATTGCTCCTAATGCATATACACATATATACATATAATATAACATATACATACATGTCTTATTATACATATATATGTAGG